TGTGTCTAATATTGAAGATTTGTATGGATTGCCTATGAATATGTATAAAATATCTTCTTTTGTTAAATTATTTGTTGTTATATATTTTCATGATTAGATTGATTTAGTAAATTAATTGAAGATAAATATGAAAGTTATAGTTGTTGAAATAGTATTCTTGGTAATAAATCAACTCGAAAATTGTCTTAGTATGCATATAAATCAATTAAACTATTGTTAAACAAAATAATAATTTAACTAAACGATAAAAATATGGTTTAGATTTAATCTCTTTCTCGTTAAATAATAAATAGAATAAAGGTGATTAAATGATAAAAGTAATAATTGATTTATTATTTGTTTATTTGTTTAAAAAACCACCATGTCCTTGTTAAAGATGTTTATATATAAACAAGATAGTTATTGATAATCTAGAACATGATATTATTTGATCTGTCTTGCAAACTAGTTTATATATATTTGATGTCGAATTATCTATGGTTTTTGTCAAATAACGAAAAATCCTTTCAATTTGATTCCAACTAAGAAATGTTTTTTTTTTGAAATATATTTATATAAATTATTTTTCAATATAAACATAATAAACCGTAATAAATCATCTATGTCACCTGTTGAAAATAGACATTTGAATTCAAGATGATGTTATTTTCTATATCAAAATAAATTCATATAGAATTTATTAATCGAACTAAATATGGTTTATTATTAGAACATGATAAAAGATTTTTTATATAAACTCTATAAAATATTGTTTCAACATAATTTAAGTTCATTTCATTTAATATTCATCGTTATGTTGGTAAAGAAAAGTCTAGATCAATTATTTTTTTTTTTTAGTTAATGCTTCTATTGATCTACGTCATAATGATAGAATATGAATACGAAAGATAAGATAATTGAGCCATTGATAATCATAGAAAATCCTAGAAAGATAATGAATACCGGTGTGGTTATCTAATCAATCTATGGTAAAACTATGATAGTCTTTAATTAATATTGACTTTTTTCTTCTCGAGAGACAATTGCAAGAACAAATAGCATGACTCACAATTTGCCTAATTAAATTCGAGACGAATAATTCGGTCATTCTACTAATGAAACTTAAATGAGTTCCTTACTTGAAATTCTCTATTTTTTTGTTTGTTATCTATATCATTAAAACTGATCCTTCTCTATGTAAGTAGAGTAGATCGACTAGTTTCATACGTTCACAATATTGTTTGAAATTTCGAATTGTTAAAAAGTCTTATCCATTACTATCAGCTAAAGCATGTCAAAGAAAAGCAAATATTTTTCCTTTAATTAGATTAAAATACTGATTATATTTATTTCGATATATTATATCTAAAACATATCATTGACATCATGAATGATAATGAACCTTTTTTAAGTTATATTTTTAAGGATTTATATAGAAATTTTTATTGTATATTATTTGTTTTCGTTGTTGATAATATTTGTAAAATTAATGATAAATAGATAGGTAATAATTGTTTATTTAATCATTGTTGATCAAGTATTAACATCATTTCAATATGGTGAGAAATAAGTAATTCGACTAAACGTAATAGAGATATACATATTAACGTAAGAAATTTGTTCAATCAATAAAACTAATAAGACACCACTTTTATCAACATGGAGTTCTTCAAGTGTCTACGAAGAATTTATAATGATAGGAATAATTTGTTTAGTTTTAATAAATTATCCAAATCTATATATATAATGTTCAGTGTGTGTCTGTGTGTCTGCGCCAGGTCAAGGGTCAAAGGTCATATAGGCCTAAAGGGAAAGGCGTCAATGGCTATCCTATGGAGGTATCCATAGGTCCTCCAGGACTATCCTATGGAGGTATCCATAGGTCCTCCAGGACTATCCTGTGGCGGTACCCATAGGTCCTCACAAACTATCCTCTGGAGGTACCGATAGGTTCTCATGGGCTACCCTATGGAGGTACTCATAGGTCCTCATGAGCTATCCTATGGAGGTACCCATAGGTCCTCAAGGGCTATCCTAGGGAGGTACCCATAGGTCCTCATGGACTGTCCTATGGAGGTACCCATAGGTCCTCATGGACTGTCCTATGGAGGGACCCATAGGTCCTCACAGGCTATCCTATGATGGTACTCAAAGGTCCTCATTATCTATCCTATGGAAGTACCAATAGGTCCTCATGGACTATCCTATGGAGGTACCCATAGGTCCTCATGGACTATCCTATGGAGGTACCCATAGGTCCCCATGGACTATCCTATGGAAGTACCGATAGGTCCTCATGGGCTATCCTATGAAGGTAGTCATCGGTCCTCACAATCTATCCTATGGAGGTACCCATAGGTTGTCAAAAGTTATTATATGAAGGTAGCTATGGGTCCTCAAGAGCTGTTATATAGAGGCACTTATAGGTCCTCAAAAGCTATCATATATGAGTATCTATAAGCCCTGAAGGAAGTACGGCAATATCTCTATATATAATGCTCAATGTGTATGTTAGTGCTGAGTCAAAGATGAAGGCTTAAAGGTCAAAGGTAGGATAAGGCGGTAAAGGATAAGGTTACATGAAGATATAACTATAAGAGAATAAAGCTGTAGGAGAATAACGCAACAACGAAATAGGTTTATAAGAAAGTAAGACTGTGAAGAACTAAGGAATAAGGATGTTAGGCTATAAGAGGAAATGCTATAAAGAGAAAAGAGTATAAGAAAGTAAGGCGATAAAGAAGTAAGACTAAAAGAGGAAGAACATTATAAAAGGGCATGAGTTTAAAGGAATAAGTTAATAAGGAGCTAAGGTTCTAAGGGATACGGCTATGAGAGAAGGACTCTACAAGGAACTAAGGCTACAAAGGAGTAAGACTATAATGACTATGATTATAATGAAGAATATCCTAAGAGAAGAATGCTATAAGAAGGTAAGTGGATAGGTAATTAAGGAAATAAGACTGTAATGTGATAAGACCATAAAAAACTAAGGTAATAAGAGAGTAAGTCTATAAATGGGTAAGAGTACAAAAATTACAAGATACATAAGGCTATAAGGCTACATGGACTATTAGCGGTAGAAGGATATCACACTGTGGCGCTTCCAGGTGCATAATATCAAGTGTCTTTATGTCTATTACCGCGTGAAAGGTTAAATATTTAAAATCGTACGTTAAAGATAATAAGGCCGTCGTGCAGTATGCAAAGGCTCTTACGAGTTAGTATATATCGATTCAACAAATAAATAACTTGTAACTAATCTACGATCTATAAAACCAAATAAATTGTGTATATATGTACATCTATCAGTTTATTCAAATAAAAAGAACTAATTATTGATAAATGTGTTATTAACACATTCAGTCCAATGTAATCCACCGGTAGGTGGCATTATATTTTAATAAGAAACTCTATAGAAAAACACATTCTTTTGCCATTGAGGGTGAAGGTGAAGAGTAAGGGGTATAGTTATTTGATTTACAAGGAAAATAATGCAGCAAACGATATGACAATTGTGCAGTTTCGAGAAAGGCTTGTACGATCGTTTACTCCTTGATGCGCCATTTAAGAAGGTGAAACATAGTCCGAGACAACAATCATCAAGTTGTTCGAAGCACAAACTTGCTGATGACAAGCTCGAAGAAAAGGAAGGATCTGCGTGCAATGTCCCAAGGCGCTGTGTTGATTGTTATGAAAAAAGCAGGCAACAACAATCAAGAGAATGTGAGCTATGCGGCAGCAAATAAACTAAAAACTTTCTCTTCTGACTGTGATAAATTTTTTTCTCTTGAATGTTTTAATAATAAGCATTATGCTATGGAATAAACGACTCAAATAAACTACTGAACGATAGAACAGATGACACCTTGTGTTTTATCTCTTGCCAAAGAAAAAACGCAAAAGAAACTGCTTTTCTATACAGTTTATCGTTAAACTATACCGTCGCCCATCGGTGGACGACATCAGACCCAATCGGTTAATGATGCCAGTATTAATGTTGATGATCACAATGCTTTTGCATATATAATCAACCATATTAAGAATATATATCCATTATAATCATAATAGTATATAAAATGATAATAATAATAATTAAGAATATTGACTTAAAATAATTATATATGAAAATTTATCGAGACAATCTACAGTTTCATCATGAATTAATAATTAACGAAAATCATTTAGAATTGTTCGATATTGTTTAGCTAAAATAATATTATAGATCTTATAAAACGGATGATAGGCATTTTAAACTGAAGTGAATGAATGATATTAGACTTTTACAGAAGATAAATTCAATAGTCGATGAATAAAATTGGAGAATGTATCAAGGCTTCCATAAAGGTAGATCTTAGTGAGGGTAGATTATATCAAAAACTTAACATCTCTTGACGTTAGAATAAGCAGGAAACAGTTGATTTCTATAATTAGTAATCAGTTTCTCTCTGTTCAGTTAGTTTTTCTCCTAAACTTTCACATGAAAATTTTTAAATCAATTGTCTACCGATCGAAAGCTTTTACATACTTATTCATATCTCTACATGCTGTTTCTATTGCTTGACTATCATATTTATGTCTAAAAATAAACTATTATTTTAATTCAATACTATTTTCTATAATAGACACAAATAAATAAAGATAATACACGGATGTAAGAGAAGCTTATATCATAACGGTTTGACCACGGAATTGTTGAGTATTAGTTAAAACTCGCAACATTATATTGTGTTAAATACGAAGAAGAGCTTTGAAAACAAAAAAACGCGAATAATAGTTTTTAAATTACAAATAAATTTCTTTCGAATACGTTACACACTAAAAGTTTTATCTATTGTTCGATTAACAGATAATAAGGCATTATTCGACCGTGTTAATAAACCATCTTCAGTTGAATTTTCTTCTTAACAAAAATTAATTTTAAACTAGAGGAAAATTTTTTTCATAAACAAGAAAAAAACACGAACATTTCTATTTGCTAATGCTCGAAAACGTAATAACGAATCGATCAATTGCTCGTAATGCATGCAACTGATGATAGAACATCAAATAGTGTTGTTAATCGTATGGAATAAATATCGAAAAGTGATTGATCCTATCCGAAAACAAAAACTAGCCTAACAATCGAAGATTATTTAAAAATAACCTTAGATAAAGCAATAGTACCATGTGATGGTAAATGAACAAGTTCTACATCGACAATTTGATGTGAAAGAAGTTTCCATTTATCATCTTCATTTCGAAGACTCTCAAGAGAATATGCTTTTATTTACCATAATAAGATTTATAATAGTAAAGAGAACTAGTTTTCCTTCAAACTTTTTATAGCGATATCTTTTGTTAAATATATAAGTGAACGATTGATCTCATCTACAAATGTTCTTTAGGTGTAGGCATCAACAAGATTATTATTTTCAAATCGTTAATTCATCAAAGTATTATTGAATAATTATTGATTTTATTAAATTAATTATATCGAAACCTTATCGACTGATCCATAAACGTTTTTCTTTTCAAATATATAAATTTCCAAGGATAAATAAATAGTACTGTCCATTACCCTTATATTCAGATCTTCAGTTTCTCTGATATGTGAGACCTTTTAGAGGAACACTTTTTATTCACTATACTTTTATAAAATTTTTTAACGATTTTCATTTGTTCACATAGCTACTATTTCTTATTATATTACATTACTTTATTATATCGAGCAAGTTTAACAAATGTTTGAACAATAAACATTCGTTGTGCTTCGAATTCTTTATTGTCTGTTTTGAAGTCGAACAAGAAATAAATCATATAAAACTGGTTCTAATTATATTTAACAATAAACGAAAGATTATAAAATGAAAAAAAAAGAAAAGAAAAGAAAACAATTAGAAATAAAATGAACTTCATCAGCATCTAATCAACTATAATTAAGACCAATTAAAATTAATTCAACAAGTAAATCGAGTACAACAACTTGAATATCACTTTCCTTTCTACTAACATACTTTTAAAGACTAATTATTAGTTAAATACAAACTATAAAATAGATAAAAGAATAGACCGAATTTGTTTCTTTTTGTTTTACTTTCGTATTGCACTATTTTCTATGGATTGATCACTATTTATACTTGATGCATGATCTCAACCAAATAAATAAATCATCAATTGTCAAATAAATATTCTATGAATATTAGTTAAACAATTATTTAATAATACGTTGTGAAGATACATTAGAAGATTTTCTTTCATTAGACCATCGTAAAACGATTGATAGTTGATCATTGTTTAATAAAAACTAAATTAAACTAATCTGTTTAAATGAATGTTATCGTAAGATAAAACATGATTTTAATTCGCTATTATCTATTCAAACGATAAACTTTTATTAATAGTATGTCTTGCAAATCGCTCACGTAAATCAATTGATTTAATATTCAGATTTCAAGATGGAACCAAATCAAAAGACTTGACACAGACACTTCTACAATAAACTACTATCGTTAAGATGCCCGTAGACAAATTTCAGACTGAATAGAATATCCTCAAGATTTAATCTTAATCAATGAATAAAAAAGATAATCAGTTAAATAATTGAAACTTTTTTAAAATAAATATTCATTATTAAAAACAAAAATAATTACCTCTTCTATATGTTGAATGTTGATTTAAGATAATAATATGTTTCTTCGAAATGTTTTCACCAATATAGTGTAGAAATAAGACTTAAAACTAATTTTCTAGAGATTAATGTTATTGATATTAATTGTTAAAAACGATCATTTTCATATGAATTTAATTAACTTTTATCTATTTGAAAACTTTTATCATTGATAGATTAGTTTCAAAAGCACCTTATTGTGTACGATTGACTGTTTTTATCTTTGTCTCTATCTGTTCTATTTGATATTGTCAATGAATGTTTAGTTGATGTTATTGAATTTGTATTATCTATATTATTCGAATCTTTTTCATTGCCTTTAAAAAGAAAAAAAAACAAATGAATTCATTCAGACGAGGGTGGGTGTGGGTGTTTGTGGGTGTGGGTGTGGGTGTGGGTGTGGGTGTGTGGGTGGGTGTGGGTGGGTGTGGCTGTGGGGTGTGGGTGTGCGGGTGGGATGCAGGTGTGAGTGTGAGTGTAGAATTAGAAGAACACACCGACACTCACACCCTCAAAATCAATTGATTGAATGGAGAGATTTTGTTGAAACCAAAATTCGTATATCAGTTAGAAATCTTGAATGAAATTCGTTTATTGATATAGCGCATGTTAGTTCGGATAAATATACACTAAGATGAAAATATTGTCGATCAATTACAACAAACAAATAAAGCATTGGCAGACAATGATAGTTCAAATCGAACAAACAGACATAAAAGTCCTGAATCATCCTCGACAGATTCAACACAACGACCATCATCGCCATCGACTATACCAGCTGCTCCATCTACATTTAATTGTATGTGGAGGTGGTAGGACTTCAATTTAAAGAGGCTACTAAAATTCAAGTTGTTCTAACCGTAGAATGTCATTTATTTTCAAATATTGTTTATGAATTATCAGCTAAAAACAATATGAATCAAGAAAATATTAATCTTGACTCTCGTTATATTCACTGTTGTAACTTAAAAAATATTCTATCCAAATATGCAGTATCAAGTACTACTACTAATAGTCCTTGATTATCAAAATCAATGTTGATTGATGACAATTTTGATACAAATACAAATTCACAAGGAAAACAGTCACAATTAAAATCAATCTCATCTGCTTCAGCTATCGTTGATGGTTCGAATACTAAAATAAAAACCAAACGACAAAAAATTGAAGAAGTCCATGAGTGATCACCATAAATATAAGAATCCAATTGTGATTCTATGTGATTTTTTACAAAAATTTTACAGTAATACTCAGAATACGTATTACACTATTTCATTTCTGTCATTGGATATGTTCTTTTTGTTTGTTTATTTTTTCATATTGCTTCTCATCTTCTATTTCATTTGTTTTTCTTATTTGTTTTCTGTCCATTAAACAACAAAAAAAAGAAAACAGAACAATTTTTTTTCCTTTTTATTTATCTCTTATGTCCTACATTTGCATCCGTTTTATTCTTTTGGTTTTTTGCTAAACTTAAGAATTTTATAATTTTTTGATTTTATTTTGTGTTCTCTGTATTCCAAGGATGTCTATATACAGCAGATGAACCAAGCAAAAAAAAAACAGATAGAGATGCATAAAAGAATGGTGAACAATTTCAATAAACAGGACATAAGGATTACACGATTTGTTGCCCTTTTTTTTACTGTTGTTTATCTTGGGGTGGGTGTGGGTGTGGGTTTGGATCAAATAGTGACACCCACACTCACACCCATTCACACCCACCCACACCCACATGTACCCACCCACACCCACATGTACCCACCCACACCCACACCCACACACCCATAACCATTAAATCCTTATACAACATATGAATTTAATGTTGAAGCGTTTACAGCTGCACATCGTAGTGATATATTATCCGATGGAAATGAAAATAATGATGATAAACATTCAAATCGAGATAAACGGTGTATTTAAACTATTCCAATAATATCAATTAATAAAACATTATTAACAACAATTGATTCAACAATAAATATTGATTTATTAACAACAACTGAAGTTAGTTCACTATTTTACAAGTTTGTTTAAATAATCGTCTTAATAATACAAATGTTTATTATGATTGGACATATTCGTCATACAAGAGATTTTCATGTAGATTTTCAAAAAGTTATTTAATTCTTATACGTCTGATTGAAGAATTAATTAATCAAACAAATATTATTGAACTTCATATTAATGTAACAAATGATTGGATTAATATGAATACAATAAAAGTTATTATTCATATCGTATGAATGTATATATTCATACGATACAATGAAAGAATAAAATCCAATGATTTATTTCATATTAATTCTTATACAGGTTCAATAACTGTTATTAATTCATTAGAAAATTCATCAAGTCAAAAACATTTACTAACAATTATTTATCGTTATGAACATAATTATCGTATAGCATTGACAAATTTACATATAAATATTTTTACACAAGAAAATTACTTAATTGTATTTGAGGGTGTGGGTGTGGGTGTGGGTGTGGGTGTGGGTGTGGGTATGGGTGTGGGTGTGGGTGTGGGTGTGGGTGTGGGTATGGGTGTGGGTGTGGGTGTGGGTGTGGGTGCTGTCTTCTTTCCGTTCCCACACCCACACCCCCACCCAAACCCACACCCACACCCACACCCCACACCCACACCGACATCCACACCCACACCCATCCACACCCACCCACACCCACCCACACCCACATCCACACCCTCCTATGATGAAAGTATTACAAGATGTTTGAAAAATGCAAAATCGTGTGCTGGCCTATGTTAAATGCTAGGATATTGAAAAGATCACATTAGTTGATCCAGATTG